GGGTGGCCTAAGACTACAATGCTAAAGTATGCATACCTCAGTTAGAAAACTTTTGAAAGGAAGTCTCAGCCACAGAATGCATATACCTGTAGAGTTTTGCATGGGTTTTATATGAATACAATTTTAAAAAATAGCTGCTTGCACATTATACCAGAAAAACCTCCAAAACTGCAATTGCTTTGAAAATAGATTTTAGGTTTTTTGGAGTTTTCTGAAATGCTTGGTCTGTATTTTGATAATTGTGCATATTATGTAAAAATGTTGGTGGACCCATAAATGACCAGACTTTTTCTAAGAAAAATGTTGCTTTAATGCATTTCATGAATTTTTACTCTTATATCATTGCTTGCTAGTAATAGCAAATCTGCTTTTCTGCATCTGCTTTGCGTAGCTATTGTAAGGCTTTGAACTAATGTATGTATTTATTGCTTGAACTTCTGTGCATACCTTATAAAGCATAATGTCTGACAATTTAAATGGCTCATGTATTCTTGCTTCTATCATAAGCTGATTATGGGGACTATGATCTTTTGTATACGGCAAATTTTAAACTGTAGCACAAACATCTGTTTATGTATTGGTGGAATATACCTGTTTTATTTATCTTTTTTGAGGTAAACTGATTTTTGATACTTTTCATTACTGTGTACTATGTTCATACTTTGAATTCTCTGACGTTAGAAGTCATGGTTGAGAATTGTAACAGCTGTTATTCGTTCTGTATTCATGGCTTTCACTGCTGAATAAAATAAAGGACCAAACCTAGGATTTGAAAGAAAACTGTCTACCTCTAACACCAGGGAGTTATCAGATTTTATTTTACATAGTTTTAGTCTACAACGACACAATTGCTTAAACCTAGGGGGCTTAAGGCTTATATTCTGTGTGGTTGGATTCATGGCACAGTTGTACTGTTTGAAAATCAATTAAAATTTTATGTGAATGTTACAAGTATTTGGTAGAATTACCACTAACTGGGTTTTCTTTAGCTAACTCAGTTATGGAGAAAATGTCATCAGCATTCTGTGTCTACAGCTGCTTAACTTCATAAGAATGCATTTCTTTGTGATTAGGGAATTGAAGAATAGTCAGCTAGGAATAGAGCTACAGAAGTACACTTAAATAAACCATCCTGGACTTTAATGTCCCTGGGCAGATTCAGTCGCAAAATCCAATACGATGTTTTGTAAAGTTTTCAAGTTGGACATTTACATTTTTGAGAATTTTGAGACTTCATCTTATACATGCCAATATTAACACACATTTGGACAATAGCTTTATTAAGTCTATAAAGCTATTGAAAAGAACATGGCTTACCTTTGTTATTTCACTTGTTCAGGTTGCAATGAAAGGTTTTTTTTTTTTTTTTTTTTTTTTTTTTTTTTTTTTTTTTTTTTTTTTTTTTTTTTTTTTTTTTTTTTTTTTTTTTTTTTTTTTTTGTCCATGAACACTTGACATATCTTAGCAAAAAAGAAGGATGTACATTTTACTATAGAATTAATGTATGAACAGTGTGTCACTGCTGTTGGATGTAAAAATGTATATGAAACCATTTCATTCACTTGGTTACATTTCTGAAGTATAAATAAAAAAGTCTAATTCTTTTTGACCCATTTATAACCACTAGGATTTTATTCTTTCGGAGAGACCATTCTTCCATGCCAGAGCCAAGTCATAAATTTGTGTACACATGTCCCACAATTTGTTTAAAATCATTTTCTTAGGGATTGGGGATTCATAAACCAGACCATACTCAAATGTAGTCAATAGAGATGGAGGCTGCTTGTCAAATGCATTCCATTAAAAACTGTCTTTAGGTTCCAAATTGCGTCCCCACACAATCATCTCATGTTTTCATGTTTTTATTCTGATAAAATTTGACATTATAAATTCTGAACATTAAAAAAATGCCAGGGGAAAACATGATTACTCTTTTTAACTTTACTACTTTTTTTGCTTTTTTGTCTTTTTTTTTTTTTTTTTGCCTCTAAATATCAGTCACACCCACAGCCTCCAGCCGTGGTTTAGGGGAATGTATCAGAGGTAGGTAAGTAGCCTCCAAGGAAATGCTTTGTAGGAGATTAGTGATCTGTTTCAGACTCATATTAGTGGAAAAAACAGGCAAGATACGGCCTGTGAATAAGGAAAGTTTGCTTATTTCTTTAACCTAAATTCTGAAATTCCTCACAATCAGAAGTAAAAGAAAAATGAATCTATTGAGAATTTTTTAATTTTGTGCATAACAATATTTTCTGTCATCCTAGTGAAAGGGTAACTTGACTAAAGAACTTTCCACAGATTAAAAATGGCTGTAAAAGAAATATGAACATGAGATTAATGTTCTTGAACATAAGATTTTTTTCACTGTCAATTAGTTGAAAGTAAATGTTTACCTATCTACCCTATCCAGTGTATTTTGTTAACTTACTAAAGGCTGTATACCAAGATGTGAATCCAGTCTGAGCATTTTCTATACTTTAATATAAGGAGAACAATTTAGAGATTAGAAATAACAAGAAATGAGTAAAACTGATTTGGCTAATGTTTTGTACTTAAACCTAAATTCAAATTCATGTCATCCTATAGTTGAAAACACTTGTCCAGTATTTTGTGTTGTTGAATTAAGGGAGGATTCAGGTGCTTTGTAAAAAGTCAGTCATGCAATTACTTCTGAATTTTTAAAATAACACAAAAAAAGATGTCAACTTAAAAATCTAAGCAGAGGAGAAATATAGACGGCAGGTCACACTTTAAGTATTTCCTTGAACAAGAGTCATGAAAGCTAAGCATCCAAACCCCTACTGTTTGAAATCTTTTACAAAAGGATATTAAGGCAAATCCTAATGTTTAAATGCTGAT